GCCCGCACGTTACTTAAAATTGCTCAATTTGACGGCAACTTGGTGTTCTACTGACCCCGTGGGTTATGGCGTGAAAATACTACATTTATTGCTTTATAATACTGCATAACACTTTTCGGGGTGACGAATCGATAATTCAATATTAGATGCTTGGGCCGGCGAAATGTTAAATAGATGTTTGTGGAGATGATCATGATGAGGAAAACAATGATCAAACAATACTCGACTAGATCAGATACAACAGTGATAAAATATTTCTATTGAAATGTCAAACAAACCATTGTCTTTTTATTAAGCAAAAAGTGTCACCCAAGTTCGCGGTGTGGCACGAGGTCTCGGAATGGTCGTCCGCCGCACGGAGCGGTGTCGGCGGTGTCGAGTCTAAACAACGCGGCTGCACATTGTTCGTCAATTTGTTTGTCGAACAATAATGTCGTTTCGCTAGCGCTTTCCCGGAACGCGAGCTATACGTGATCTCGGTTCGATCCGCCCGATATTACGCGACCACCACGCGCTTCCTTATAAAAACCTACCTGAACAATGCCTTCAAACAACGTCCGTTGCTGCTCCAACTATATTGACTATACTAGTCTTCAACACAAAACCAGCAATGGTTTTTAAGAAAGCGATGTTGTAGTTTTAGTTTGTTCCGCTGTAAAAGCGTTAAAACTGTCCGGGGGCACGCTGCAGGTATCTTTGAGTAAAAAAAGAAAATTAAAAAATAAGACAAGTGTAGGGCCTTATGCGTGACGCACTCCACTGTGGGAATTGTGGGAAACGTCTGCAGAGCATGGGAGTCCGTGGGAGAGAGTGTGTGGAGTATGTCGCGAGGAGAAATATGGGCCTTGGTGATTGACATCGCAATTGTCTAGAATAAAGGACCATAAGGATACCCTTAAGAGACTTCTGGGCAAGCCTTTCACTAAAGATGCTTCAAGGTTTTGGCCTCCATCAATAGTAAATTCTGTTTATAGTATTGTAAGTGTTATTAATATATTTCTTTATATTTCTATCAAGTTTTCCGCAGTTGTCAGCATGTACACTTGTACAGCTATTTTTTATTACTAACTAATGTGATCACGACAGTTAGTGACGCTCTGTTAACACAGCCGTTATGTTGTAAAACTAATCTGATATCTTGTCGAGGTTTGCAAGTCGCTGACACATTACGCCAATTAAAGATTGCATAATCTTTGGTTATATAGGAAACTGACAAAAAACAGAAAATAGATGCTGTCAAAAACCATATCTAAATTCTAAAAAGGTTCCGACGCAAATCGTTTGCCACTTAATTTCTACACCCTGAAGATTACAAAGGCATTAGACAAACACGACGGTCCGTCTAAATACCTCTCAGTCTATCTAAAAAACAAAGTCTCTCAAACGCACATCACTTTTTTCCTTCACCAATTAGCTAGCATGTAGGTGGTCCATCAGTCCAACACCAATATTTGCGATATATTTTACAAATCGTCAGTACATCGCACCTTGTAATTAGCTTGCCGAAACTTAACTAAAGTTTTTGCTAGAGTTGGGCCAACATTGGTTGTGCTGTCATTTAAGTAGCTTGTTACTGCTATGTCCAATGTGTTAAGGTTGTTTTTTGAACATAATGTCTGTCAAGAGAAGGTAGCATTCGTATTCATAATTAGGAGTGATCCATGTCGGCGTCTTTTCAAGTCCAAATCGTTTTTGATGGTCCACGGGGCGGGTCTTCTGGTCCTCTGTTTGATTTGGTCCTTGCCGCTTGTGTTTTTTAACAAATTAGCGCCGATTTGTTCCCGACGGGGGTCTATTTCGCTCGTGATGACTTTTTTGATGATGATTGCCCGTTTTTCATATTATTTGTGTGGTCCTGTCGTTGTTGTTTGTTTTTGATCCCGGAGAAGCTGATCTAATTTACATTAAAGACACCTGTAACGAATAGCACATAACTTAGACTCAAATTACAGTTACCGTATCAATAGCAGGATATATCCCGGGCGCAGCGCGGCGTGTGTTGCCCGGGCAGCGCGGGCCCGGCTCGCAGGACGCGGGTCGACTACATCATTAGATAAATAAACCTGACATTAATATAACACGCGCTTAGCATTCACAGCGTTAAGATGACTGGCCAGGGAAGTCGCAATTTCCTCAGGCCGACATCTAAATCACTACCGGCCTCATCACCACCGGTCGGCTGGGAAGCTCCAAGAATCGTAGGTGAACAATGGTCGTCGTGGTGACGTCACCTCCGTTTCCGCTCAGCTGACCGTCCGTCCGTCTGTCACGTAGCAGTGAAAGTCAAAGCATTACTCATGGCCCTCATACGCCGATACATGCGTTTGATTGTCACTTGCTTCTATGAATGGGTGCCATACTGCCATATTACCACCGCGCGCCGCCCGCTATACGTTTCGGCTCCGAGCTTTATGCATCCCATTATAAGTTATAGCTTATTTAATTCAGTATTCATTACTACTATTAGAGGTGCTACTTATTTACGCTTATTGCTCTTTCAACAAAAATAGGACTATACTATAGACAACCTACCATCTAGAAACTTCAACAATCAGGATTAGATCTACTAAAGCAATTATTAATTCATCAAGTAAATATAGTAATAAATGAATTGAGAGACAAGCCACGTGTATTCATAATTCATCGAAACTGATTGATTTGTACCGAAATAGCAGCAATCGATGATATAGTGGAAGGTTGTGCTGCGGAAATTCGCCATGTTGTGGGTTTTGGAGCACGGACGGAAAAGGTCAACTAACAACACAGACTTATTACTGCAATGCATAACTTAAAGTTTATCAAAGTAAAATAAGTACGTAATGCTTGTGACCAGTTCACTAATGTCAGATAAATATTTCATTGTTATTTTTTACTTTCTAGAAGTACCAGACAGAAAAGTTGACTTGACTCTCAGGAAGCAAAATAACTTTAGAGTTTATTTCATAGGGTAAAATGTGGTGAATAGGGATTGATAGATGTATAGGGACATACGACGGGTGAATCGATACTCTAAAGAAGTTCCCAATATCGAATCACCCCCTTCTGTCCCTATTCACCCCATTTTACGATACCTTCTTAACTTATTAATCTTGTAACTAACGCCAATGAATTAATCACAACATACAGGCATGATCATACTCAAATAATCAAACAATACAAACATTTCAGGTTAAACAGAATCAGCTCTGTAACACCAACAATCCAACATACAAAGTACTTTCTCCAAATTACACAGTAAAGGGTTAGCAGACGGGAATTGGGTCAGAGTGCGTGGGATTATAATATTACTCCTATATGGGCTTAGAAGTGGATACCCTTCTATAAATAGAGGATTCTAGAATCCTAAAAATAAATAACCCTATTTCATTGAATCAGATTAAAGAAAAAGATGTATTTAAAGATGTGTTTCCGAATCCCGGAATGATTGTTGGGGTTACCACATCCACCGTTGCTAGCTCGGGCTGAGTCTCAAGCTCTGGTTTCCATATAAGGTAGGAAGCAACTGGCATGTAAGTATAGTTAAAAGTAGCTCCCATTGTTAGCAATGATGCTCCCTACCGCTAGCGCTTGTAACTTGCACTCATTTCGAGTAGAAATTTAAAACCACAAAGTATTGTCTATTAGTCTATTTGTATGGACTAAATAATACACTCCTTCTAAAATATACTTACTTTAACACTCCTATTAGAAAAAGCCCTTTTATTTCACGTACTTCTAGGTCAATTATACTCAAGTATAAATAACACTCACTAAGTTATCTTTATCATAAAATGAATTTACGCAAAGCGACTTATTTTCAAAGAACTAAAAAACACTAATGTCATTGTTCTTATACTTACTCATAACTTCAAACCTAACCCGCTATCGCTTATAGCTTACGTCACGCAAGCGTGGCGGAACAGTGAGTCATGCGCGAGAGCGTCTGGCGAGGCAGACGCGCGCTGTACTCTGTAGTAATCGTGCCTTGAATCCGCGCTTGCGCCGGACAAACACATTCCTTACGAAATGTACCTGACATTACTCCTCTGTAAATTATACCTACCTTGACTTCAAACCCACACATTTCCAATTAATACCTAAATCTATTACGTTAAATATGAAATCACTGTCGACTTTAGGTTCCTAGAAATTCCTTTCTATAGACCAGAAATGACCACCTACCAAATAAAACCCTAAGCACCTTACAAATGACAATGAAAACTTGAAAGTTTAAACTAATGTGGTGTTTCAGTGTTTGCCGTCCAATTCGCGCTAAGCAGTTATGTCGCTTTATTACTGCCGCATAGTCCAAACACAGATCCAATAAAGGAGGTTTGGATCACAGAGGCCGCCACCGAGCCCCATACAATGACATTATATGTTCGTTCTGAGAAGGTCTCCCCGTACGTGCGTAGGTCCCCGTCGCTAGTTACCTCACACGTGCGAATTTCTGCCCTTCACACCACAATGTACTAGGAATGCGGCAAAGGGTTCTTTGTTTGGAATTATTTAGATTTTGTAGGTACTAGTGGAAATTGCCATTCATCAAGTATTTTCTTTTTCTTATATTATGGTACTAATTTCAATATTACTATGGTACATTTCCATACCGAAAAAGGTTAGAAAAATAAAACCAACAGCAACCTTTACCTCTTGGGCCCGATAGGTATGCGTGAATCAGTGCGCTCGCGCAGCTAAAACGACTGCGATCACAAGGGATGCCGCGTCGATGACTTGACTAGCCACTACTGTTGCCAGCGCCATTTTTGGATCGATCGCGACTTGCGTGCACTTCCTACACTAGTCCATTCATTATGATAGGTCAGGCTTATAGCGTCGCATGACTACCAGATTGACTCAAAACTGAGCGTTAATCAGCATCGTTCTAGGTACTGAGATTTGGGTCATGGAAGTTTTAGAATCCCTGACTCAATATTCTGCTACAGTTTATTTGAAATACATTTAGGAATAGCAACATGATTATTATAGGCTGAGCCGTTGGTGTACCCAAACGGAGAACAATGGTTGTCCTTCTGCCGGCGGAGGTGAGCACAAGGTCGCTGGTTATGGACAATCATTATAAGTGGAATATATTAGCAGCTCGGAAGTCAGCCCGTTTTCTAATCTTCGCGAATTAGTATGCAGAGGCAATCGGTTAGCGCGTGCCGATATTGTAACAGTATACTTTTTGTTAGTCATAGTTGCTTCAATAGATGGCCATAAACGCTGGTGGAATATTTTCGGTGGCACCTTAGAAATTATAGATTATGATCTCTTTAACATAGCGGCTCTTGAACACTCACTTTATTGTTCTCCTCGATCATCATATTAGCAAGTCTACTTTAGTCTTAATTTTATATGACTTACGTAAAGTCTAAGTTTAGTCGTCTTGATAAAGTTAAATTAGACCTCTGGTTCTCACACTCACTCAACTGTAGTTTTATACATATCGTTGTTGTCCTATCATCACTAACCTATGTTCTTCTTCCTCAGTGCGAGGAGTCGATGTCAGCGGGAGACATGTGTGTGTCGGCTGCTCGTGCTGGACCCTCAGCGCGCTGGCACCCCGCCTGCTTCGTCTGCTCCTCCTGCCAGGAGCTGCTAGTGGACCTCGTCTACTTCTGGAAGGATGGCCGGCTCTACTGCGGGAGACATCACGCCGAGACACTCAAGCCCAGGTGTTCGGCCTGCGATGAGGTAAGAAACATTTCATTTATAGAACACGTTCAATAGAATACTCGTTAACAGTACTTTGAAGTAAGTACTTGCAACTGCGATGTTACTTCCAACTAAATGTACAATTACTTGAGTTCCCTCGTTTACCTTTCAAATCAAAACAATTACAACGTACGCATTATTATTCAAAACAAATTGCTCCATCTTATCTTTAATTTACCACAAAACGGCCCATTACTGGATTCCCTTCAACCTGCAACATTATCATAAAATCGCGAGGCGGCGCGTGCGCCGGCCGCTGACGCAATTGTGCGTGCAGTTGGCAATATCCGCCCAACGGACCGGAAGTAGATAGTATCGGGGTGGGGGGATGCACATCCCCTGTGTTATTCAGACATTTCACGGTGGACGCGTCCATCGCGGAATTTATACTGATCAGCCATATGGCCGTGTCCAATTGTTCGGTGGAATTATGCAAAGTGTGGCGCTGTAACTCGTTCCATCGCCTCTGTTATTTATTGTTGACTCAATAAATACATGAAACAACTGTTTTATTTGATACGTTTCATGTCACAGCGTTCTTTACCACTGAAGATTTAGAGCTCTGCCACCAGGTCTAAGGCGTCACGGCACGTACCTATGTAGCTGTACCAGACACTATCATAGTTTTGTCTGTCAATGTTACTCAACAAGAGTGAAAATATTTTTCCACTCAACTCCATTCCACCAAAATCAGACTACATAGTCTCTAAATCAGATGAAATTAATTTATCACCTTTTACGTTCCGCAAAGGGAATCACCGCAGGCCATCACACGAGTACAATACAGAGATGGAGATAGCAAACAATGTAACAAGTAACAACCGAGGTGAACCAATACTTACTTAGTATTCGAGTGTCGACCGCCGTCCTCAACGAATCCACCTGAAGGGTGCAACGACCCCTGCCAGACGGCCAATCAAACAATTACACAGGGCACCCCAAGATTATGTGCTGTGATAATCACCCAGTATGGAAACCTTTTCTGGGTGGTAACCCCTGCTAAAGGAGTTTGGATCACGAAGGGATTTCATTATTTTCATTAGTCCGATACATTTCACTGCTTGATCTACAGTTGGATCGTAGTCAACCATTGTCTGCGACAAAATTGGACATGCGACGTACCACCACAATACTAATGATCAATAATAAATCCACGAAGTAGGGTGTAGAACACAAGCTTTGACGTGACATTTTTGTTTCGTCAGCATTTAAAAGCTATGAAAATATTTATAAAGCTCATTAGCGTGGCGCTTGACCGGCACGGTACCAACGCTGGCAACCCATCGTCTGCGGCGGAAGCGGTCCGAGAGACCCTCCACCCGATACCACATCTAGGTCGAGGGTAGGAAACATTAGGGGCACACCGCCGGCTCTGATCTCACGATAACGACTGCTAAGAGGCCGGTAAGTAAACTCTGATTGGGGTCGAACTACTTTTACCTATGAAAAGCAAATATGGGTCACTGAGATTAAATTGCTTATATTTCTAATCTGAAATATACACAAATAATAAGCTCTTTTTTACTAGAAAGCTATAAGTCGTGATTCTCGTCAGATATACTCCTATTTCTGGCCAGGAACAGATATTGAAATATGAAAATGTTTAACTCAAAACGTAAAATAAATTGCAAAAGATAAGGAAACAGTAAAAGTAGCATGTTTGATAATAACCGAGTGGTGTCCATGGGAGACTAACCTGATGTCTTCATTAGACACGTCGCTCCGGTCGCCCGGTCGCTCTCTCACCGGTAATTAGTGCAAATTATATGCCTGTGTAATTACACGTAATGCGCCCATAGCAGATTGGGTCATAAAACTGAGCATTATACTGAACCCGATGATAGATATTAAAAAATAATATGTTGTTTTGTTGTCTGGGGAATTTCGTCCTACTGTTATACATGTGGCGAAATACTATTACACTTTATGTTTGAATAAAGCTATTGGTTTCGTTTTACTTCGGTACATTAAAGCGGTCATTTCTATGACCGTTGTTTCTACAATATTGCTCTACAGTTGAATGGCTAATTAAAAGTCCGAGCCCATGCCAGACACGTGGATGCCGCGGCTACCACGAGTAATGGCCGTTGAAAGCTGTAAAAGGCTGAAATGTAAAGGTTGATCACGTGACATTTCACGGCTGAAGAAACTCGTCGCCAGCCGCTAATGAGCCTTAAATACTTAACATAGCACAACTAATAGGCCCCGTAAAACACCATTGATTAATACTTACCCTGCGAAGTGACCCCACGAAGAAACTTTGTAATTACAGATCAAACACTAAGATAACGAAATAATCTAGAAATACTTTATGGCTATTAATTGTTTCTCGTGTTAGTTATTCCCGCCGACCGCCATAATTTATTTATTAAAAATACCTGCGTGCTGCTTTATCGCAATCAGTTAAAAACTTTTATTTATTCTGTCGATACGACCACTGAAAACTCGCGACATATTTGTGTTAAAAAAGTAATGAAAATTTTTGGCTTAAAAAGCGTAGTTTTATCGCCGGAGCCATTAAAATGTTGGATTTATTTATTTTATTTCTCGTTTAATTGGTCGTCACGAATTGTGCTCGAAATTGAAGAAATTAAATTCTTTTACTTTGTAATGGTACAAGATTTTCTTTTTATAAAAATGTCGACAAAAGTTTAGTTGTCATTTACATAAATAATACTTCCAAATGGTCTTATTTCATGTTACATCAAATATTTTCATCAGAAATAAGTAAAGTTTTGTAGAAAATATTTATTTGCTTTAGTTTTATAATTATTCGTCACGAGATTGCGCGGAATATCTTGAATACTTTACGCTAATTAACTGTACAATACAAGTCACAATTTTCAAGTGTACATTTTTGACAATCTAAACAGCCTAGGTAACCTAGATTAGGAACATTGGAACTAATTAATTATTGCCTAGAATTTCTTATCTCAAACATGTTTGTTACGTAACTTTTGTAGAATTAATTTTATATTTGACTCGACTTATTTAAATAAGTTTGTTCTACAACAGCTGTTACCTTCATTTGATAAAACGAGTAAATACTAAATACCACCTAACAATTTTATAATCCTAATTGAAGAGGAATTAGCGGATATTAGTTTTGCTATCTTTGTTCGCTATAGACTCTAGGAATTGCAGTGATTATGTCCTCAATAATGACGTCACAGTTCCCTGCTACCCTAATGGCGCAGTGCACCGTACCGATAGATTACGTCTCCGGTCCCCGGTGGCATGCCCGAGCAGCTCGTGTAGCCCGGGTATATGTGACACACACACGCGAGTCCCACCGTGTACAGATACCAATGATTGAGATATCACTACTGTGTCCAAAGCTTTAATAAGTAGTTACACTAATAACTGCTCGTCACATTGTATAGTTTCCAGTTAGTGAACAGATGGACACTGTAAGCAAATACATGAAATAATGTTGTTTACAAGAGAATAAACATATTATTCAAAAGAATATTGTAGGACGTGCTCAGTAAATAGGTAAACTGCATTCTATTGTTTTAAATTGCGTATTATTCTTTAACAGAGCTTAGCATCTGTAGTTTTCTAGTATTACTTGATCATGAAACTAAGCACCTGTTTCATAATATCTGATTAAGGTAGGTAGGCCTAGGTTTCCTCACGATGTTTTCGTTCACTGATTGTCTAAATGATCTTAGAAAGTATATATTATAACTCGGAAAAAGTCACAGTGATACTTGCCGTTGGTAGGTTTCGAATCCGTACACTATGCATGAGAAGCGGGCGTGTTAAACCTCCGGGCTACCACCGCCACCACACACGATTATTTGCTATTTCCTTCTTAATATAGCCAGATTAGCATATAGCCAGGCCTTAGTTAAGTTTAAAAGTGTTTAAAAACTATTCTCGCAAAATAATGTCTCAATAAGTTTGAAGAAATCAGTTCTTAGGAAAGTGATATTATCCCTAGCAACAGCCAAGTATCAAGTCTGTTTTGAAAGTGGAAAATCATCAAATCTCTTCTCCCGACCTAATAGTGAGACTCTTACTGACTAAAACCTATTCCAACTGCAGTCCGGTACCTATGATGCAGTCGTAGGCTATGCAGCAGTGCCTAGACTACCTAGGTCATGGAATGTGCCTAATGTTACATTACCTGAATGTCAAGAGTACAGCAATGCAGATACACTATTTTATATTTGTGATACACCAACTGTTCACGCTAGCACTGTGACCCTGACTTTGGTTGCATTTATTTTTATTATAGCATTTTCTTCAAGGAAAATGAAAATGTTCAAATGTATTTTTTCATTTTTTTGTTGATGGAAGGTAAGATTGAAAATGTGTCTAGATTAAATAGTAGTAAATATTACTAGACCGAGAAGCTCGAACATGTAGCCAAGGTACGCGTTTTTTAATCTTCTGAAATTTACAAGGCTCCATATTTGTCTTAGTCAAGAATCTAATTAGAATAATTTTAGGAAGCGTTCGATAGAATATCAATCGTAGTTTTAGAACAATAACATTTACTATTTATTTTTACGTAAATCTTTATATATCTTTAAAAGCTTTTAAAGGTACGTGCTTAACCAAAATAAATTGTGGTTAACAAATACAAAACCTTCAAGCCAAGTCCGCATTGAGGCAAGGCTGAATGCACAGCAGTAGGTATAATAACAAAGTACATACTGCAGACTAAAACGAAACTCATAAATAATTTACTTAGGTATTCAACTTAGTACATAAATTAAATACATTTCGTATAACTCGGCTAAGACTCTTTAAACCTTTCTGTAAATAGTTTTCCTAGGTCACCAAGACAGGTATCAGCCTATGCTGAACTTAGGCTGCTTCCACATAGTTTATGATTGGTTGGTTAGAAGTTTCTTGGTTTTATGGCTGGGTTCGATTCCTAGATAAAGCTGCAAATAGCCAGAATTTGGAGCAGTTGTTCCTTATTAGGTAACAGTAATAATGTATGAGTAACAAAATAACTGAAGAAAAACTGATAAAGTAGTTACCTACTATATCTACTTACACAATACTATCGTACCGCCATTGGAAACTATGTATAAACAGATTGATAAATCAATTTGTTTAACATTACACATAGAAAAACATGATAAACATGTGCCTAGTAATATCGATGAATCACGGACATATGCGCGTGCGCCGCCTTAGACACATGTTACTATCGATACTTAGTGCAACACTAGTTACGACATGATAATAGTTCCCATAACATTGTAACATGTTGATGAGCGTGTTACAACTTGATTCATCCTGAAAACATGATTAATATTAACATAACATACCATCACGCCTTTTATCCCCGAAGGGGTAGGCAGAGGTGCACACAGAAGTATAACACCCACTTTTCACTATTTATGTTATGAGTCCCATGTAATAGGGGGTGAGCCTATTGCCATATACCGGGCACAATTCCAGGCTCCGTGCTACTACTGAGATTTTTTTTTAAAACCCAATAATACTTTGCCCTACCCGAGAATCGAACCCAAGACCCTTGCCCGGTAGTCGCACTTGCGACCACTCGGCCAACGAGGCAGTCAGATTAATATTAACTGAAACAATTTGTCAGTTACGTTTAAATTAATCATTAACTGAACTTGAATGAAGCTTTTTAAGATGTGGGGAAACTTTAAATAGGCGACTAGCTTTTGGGGAAAAAAACTAGGCACTGTGACATTGTTATCTCAATGAGACCACCCCGTTGGTCACCATCAGCACCAATAATAGACCACTAAACCCGACCAGTAGTTACTTACTTGATTATATAAGTACTCCTTAAATGATGTTTTTTTTTTAATACGATTACTACTTAGAAAATCACCTTACCTCACGAATAAAGTCAAAGCATTTATTTCAATTAAACCATTATTTGGTACTTTTGAAACGTCAAAAAATACAAATTATATAATAGTCTGTCAGTCAGTCCGTCAGTGTAGCTAGGTGAAGCTAGATACTCATTCCAAAATGTAGATTCGAATGGAGAAGAACGAGCAAGAAACTCCATTCGTTACTCTTTTTAAAAAAGTACGTTCTACAATGTCTCTGATACATATTCCCATACTGTATGTATACCTATGTGAGAACAATGCAAAGACACGCTTGACGCATTATAGGTACTAATTACAAACCTTACTAAAATAAAAAAAATCTTATAGTCTAACACGGTGCTCACATAATTATGCATACTGACAATCTGTAGAGAACAGAGAGTATAGTTCCCTAAGATCGGAAAAGGAGGATCCTCCGACCAGGCGAGGTGATCGTGCCTGGCGGGCTTTCTGCCCAACAGTTGTTCGTTGGGATTTTCTATCCGTGTTTATTCGCTTGTAAACTTTGCATGTGCGATGTAGGATTCTTGTGACGTCATCCGTTGACATGTGGCATGCGTCGCCACAAATCCATGAAAATAGTAACAATCCATAAAATTAGCTAAATACAGTAAATTCTCATTTCTACCTAGGCGACGTAGTATATCTTACTCGGTGGCAACAATAAAACGGTTGCACTGATGATGTCACTGATATCTGCGCTCCCATGGTGGTGGGAGCCACATGACCTGCCTCCATGCAACCCACTGATGGGCATACAAGTCCCACGGGGAAAACAGTTGCTAAATTTGGTTATTTGTACGTTGCCATGGCAACGCAAAGATGGCGATTGAAATTACGTTGAATCAGAGAGTGAAACACGATATTCCATAATAAAAAGTAGCATTAGAGTGTCGTATTCGGAGACAATAAATAATGATTACTTAAATTACACCTTAGCAACGATTTTGTTCCAGAAGGAATCGGTAATAATCGCAAATGGAACATCTTAAATTCAATATAATTACAATTACAACTTAGTAGTATTAACTGCATTATAGTTTTCAATTACAACATCCAAAATTATAATAGTTTGAGCACAGGTTAATGAACTATTAATTAACATTTGTAACGTCATGAACAAATACCTTGTAAAATGTAGTTATTTTATCAAATAGTAAGAGTACAATATAACTGTTCCCCCGTCTCTATGTCTGTCCGTCAGTGTTACAAAACGTGTGTAGTTGGTAGCAAAGTTCGATGTCACGATAACGATCTACCGACACACATCGCCACTGCATAACTTACATTTAATATTATAAAGACAATAAAAAAAATAATTCGAAAACTGTACTAATGTACCATTTCAGGCATTTTAATTATATTCTATCGACCTATTAATTTACTTGCACATAAGTACTAATTTTAACGTTAAGTCAAAGTCTCAACTGCAATAATTTTCGCACCAAACTGGCCAGTTCGCAGTGTTCCTTGATGGTACGTCGCCAGATAAGTGCTGAGACAATGCACTCCTTGTTACATCACACGTACAATAGCCCAATTCTCCAACAATTGCAACAACTTGAAGAAACACGGAACAGTCAACACAATCGCAAGTCCAGCATGGCGGCAGCGGCTCAGTGCGCGTGCGCCGGCGGCATGCATCCACGACACAGAATACCGTTTCTGAAATATTAATAATGAGTGAATAGTCCACTAATGAACATGAACAAAATATAACTCGGCGACCGTGGGACCCGTTCCCATGCCATTGTCGCGAACCAACTTTCTTGGGGTCGACAGCACCGGCTACCACTATGAATAATAATGCCTAATTAAACCGTGTTTATCCAGATAATTAATTAAATTGAACTGCTTTTGGAAAATATTTTGTAATTGAATATTTATCTGTTCTGCCTATGACATTTCAAACTATGCTAGGTAGTTGATCAGATCGTAACATGGGCTTGATTGTTATTTTAAGTAACACACTACTGATACGGAGTTATCATTATTGGATCAAATTTCAGCAAAATCGTCAAATATTACTAAGTATTTTAACTGTTACACGATGGAGTAGTAAAATTCACATAATTAATGCTTATTTCCATTGTCAACAGATAATCCTGGCAGACGAGTGCACGGAGGCGGAAGGCCGCGCGTGGCACATGAAGCACTTCGCATGCGCCGAGTGTGCGCGCCAGCTCGGCGGGCAGCGGTACATCATGCGCGAGGCGCGCCCCTACTGCCTGCCCTGCTTCGACAACTGCTTCGCCGAGTACTGCGACGCCTGCGGGGAGCCCATCGGGGTCGACCAGGGACAGATGTCGCACGAAGGCCAGCACTGGCACGCTACAGAACGATGCTTTGCTTGCCACACTTGCAGAGCAAGTCTCTTAGGCAGACCTTTCTTGCCGAGAAAAGGAGCGATATACTGCTCCATAGCGTGTTCCAAAGGTGAACCACCCACGCCGTCTGACTCATCAGGTCCTGGACCCAGACCACCACGAGTGCCAAAGCCCAGAAGAATGCCATCACCTAAGACCCCGCCTAGAACACCCCCGAGAGAACCCTCACCTCACCACATAGACGCAGATTCTGAACCTAGTGAATCCTTGATACCAGAGTCGCCCCCACCGCACCCGCCTCCACCTCCACACGCTTGCCTAAGTCTCGACAGAGCATTAGCAGATCTACGTCTAGAACAATCTATGACGGAACATCAAATACAACCCAGTCCGACATCTGAGGAACATAAAAACGAGTCAGCAGACGACTGGAAGCCTCCCCACCCTGTGGAAGCGCAGGCAGTCGTCACTCCAGGACATTCATCATCGATGCCAGAACTGACGCTGGTAGATGGTAAGTCACCTCGGAAACCGCGAGGGGGCCGGACAGTGAGGTTCTGCGGAGATGACAATGAAGCATTTGAGCCCGATGAGCCCCCACGGAGGGAGAAGGTGCGGGATGAAGACGCCAGTAGCTACTGCAGCACGTGTTCGTCGTCGTCATCGTCCGCAGAGTCGTATACGTTACCGACGCGGCGCGCGTACGGCGGCGTGCGGATATCATACGTGCCCAACGACGCCGTCGCCTGCGCCAAGAGAGAACGACAAAGGAAGAACGCTCAACACGACAAGAACTGCATCATCTCGTGATCCTGGCTCTACCTAGTGCCTCCCCCCTCCTAGTGAACCGACCTCCGATATAAAAGACTGACTTTTTGATAGATTTTTGTAGCCCCCACGCCATAGTAATGTTAGATAGAGTACAACAAGTCTTCCTTAACTGCTTTGATCTTGCCACGCGACGCGGCGGGCCTGCTGCCGAGTGTTGCTCGCGAATAATAGTAACCAGGTGCGCATGCGCGCGGGACAGCATGTCTGCGCCTGATCATGTTGTGACGTGCACAATAATAATCGTTATCTACATAAAAGGCTTAAATTGTAAAGGGTTTGGACAAATTTATGTTCGAACGAGTAATTTGGGATTAATCGGTTTAAAATGTGACGCTGTCTTTTATAGGTAACACCTTTGTGGGTTTTATTTGTAATCGATCGTTTTGGTCTGGCATTTACTGCACAAACTGCACGTTGGTTGTGAATGGAGTGCAAGGTGTGCAGACTGAGTAATGTGTAGTAGAGGGGCCTAAAGTTAAGTTGATATAACGAGCGACGTCAGCTTTAAATTATTTCTGATTTAATATATAACTATGTGTAAACATATCGAATGCTTTCTCTAGTTTATTCTTGTTCATGAAATGATTAATTTAAGACATATCCCACTTTGCCACTTAGCTGTAGCTTGCTGTAAGTGTAACCTAAGTTAGGAGTAAGAGATTATTGTAAAATACGAGTACAAATATACAATATGTTATTTTGTATAACTGTTTTATACTGTTGTGGAATGTGTTCAGTGTAAATAAAGCAATGTAACGAGTTGTGAGGATTTGTATTCTTGTGTAGATGATGTGTGCTTGACCAGGTCAATGAGAACTTTAATGTGACTGATGCAGTACCAGTCGCTGTATCAGTACAATATTATGATACTTTGTGAAATTATAAATGGCTAAACGTAGTTCTTTACTCTTTCTAAAAAAGCAACTTAAATGTCATTTGATAAATATTATCAGACAGTAACTTTCAATGTCCTATTTAATCGATACGTAACCTTTGTTTGTATACTTGATACTGACGTAACAATACTTTCCTAGACATAATACTCAATGCAAAGAGAATGCTCATGAAACTGCATTTGTTCCAAAAATGTGTATTATTAAATGAAAATAGGCGCTAGTTATAATGAAAAACCACAAAATATTGTACAAATATATCGAAATGTAACAATAAATTAATTATGTACGTACTTTTTTAAGTTATTTGTAATAATATGAGGAGATGAAATTAAATGATTTGGAATAAAAATCCTGTTTTATTGAGCAAGAGAAGCCGGGAAGCATTATAAATTACAAGCTCCTCTAATCTGTCAAACTTCTACATTCGACTTTCAATTCTATTACAAAGTACCTACATATAGTAGAATATCAATTGAAGTATAGTCAAAATCAAAGTGAAAATCAATTATTTCAATTAGACCAGAGAGGCACTTTTGAACGTCAACAAAACATTTCAAAGTGAAGCTATTTGCTCATTTCAAGTTGTAGATTCATATAGAGAAGAACGAGCAAGAAACTCCATTATTTTTAAAGGGGGAAAATCATCGATTTACTGCTCCCGCCTGGATGAAGCGGGAGGGAGTGTCAGACTCATCAAATGCACAATACAATTCTTTAGTTACATAGTATATACTATCAATTTGGTACACTTTAACCCACTATGAGTACGTAGCTTCCTATCGACCGCTATGGACAAAAAACTGTTTAGCGATACAGGCTGGCAATTGGCCAGGAATACATTAAGTATGGGGGAAGCCGGGAAACGTTTTGCTTCAACTAAAGTTTAATTTATTGAACTGCAACCCTACAATGTAATAAGTACCTCTAGTTATGTAACTAATGACTTCGTAGCAGAAGGATAATAAAATCATAACAAAATACAGTAAGGTTCTTTTTTCCTCTATCTCGCCTGGTGGTAAGCGATGATGCGTCCTACGATGGAATACGTTTGCCCCTAATCTATTCACTCGGGCCTTGAAGACACAAAATATAGTTGTAGAATTAAATTACAATATTACTGCCGACTAAAGAATCTCGGGTTTGATTTCTGGTTTATGCAAAATGGGTTATGTAAAAGTTCTGTCTTAATCTATATATATAAAAGAAAGTCGTGTTAGTTACACTATTTATAACTCAAGAACGCCTCAATCGATTTAGATGAAAATTGGCAGGGAGGTAGCTTAGAACCAGGAGACGGACATAGGATACTTTTTATAGAATACTTTTTTTTTACTTTTTACCAAAAAACGGGAACGGGGGGAAAATGGGATTGCGCTTACGAAGTCGCGGGCAGAAGCTAGTAATTAATAAGTTTCAAATGTACATTTGAATGGTGTCTCTGCCTACCCTGAAATGAGCAGAGACAGTATGCAGTAACAATATCTACACAGTGAGTATATGGGAACACACACCATAATATACATGGTAAAGACACACTTAGAAAACATTATCGGATCGACTGGCAACTACGAGTATGTAGATTTGATGTCAGATTTTTGTATTGAGGTTATAGTTCGTAATCGTAACTTTCTATGGAACTTATCACGTCATGTAATGTAAAATAAGGCATCCTTGTTAGTGTCAATTGTAGAACTTGATATATTTGAAGATTTCAGCATCAAGAAGACTCACACGTGTAAGTTTCAGACATAACTAACTTGATAAAATCCGTCGTCAACTTCTGAAGAACACTTAAGGAAACAATAAAGAAGTTTTCAACTAAATACTACAACGATATAAACCTCAAACAGAAATCAAACTCGGTATAACTTCACTAACTGCTCATACTTGGCAGAAAGTTGGACGACACGAGGTTCTTGGCAGACAGACGAAGTTAGGATTTGGATGTTTTTATTTGTACCATTTGTAGAAGACTTGCAACATTTTAGTTATTGTAATTGGTAGTAAATAAATAAATGCAGGTGTTAACCTTTAACAAACACATTCATTGTCAATAGTGATTCATAACTCCATGCAATTCCTATTTTAAAGTAATGTCCGAATAAAAAGAATACCTATCGACAAATCAATCCTATATAGATTCCTTTAAAAAAATGCAGTTACTGATCACCCTCCATGGAAGAGCTACGCTTCGGCACGAATGGGCCGGCTGAACCGGAGTGATACCACGGCCTCACAGAAAACCGACGTGAGCGCTTACATTGTGTTTCGTCGTGTAAGAGAGGTTACCGGAGGCCCAATTAGCCCCTCCCCCCTCCCCAGTCTTCCGAATGCCCCACAATCCTTAAATTCCCAATTCTCACGCGGGTAACGCACTTGTAACGAATCTGGTTTTTCAGGTGTCTATGGGCGGCGCCAATTGCTTAAATTATCCGTCAGCTCGTTTACCATGTCTTGCTTGTTTACCATAAAAATCCTCTTAGTGAAATTACAAGAAAATAAACTAAGAAAACTTAACCCTACCGAAATTTAACCACCCTTTGAGTTAGGCAATAAAATCCAGACATTGTAATGACACGTAGGCACAGACTGTGTCCTAGACGGCTAGACCTGGCTGCAGGCAGACTGATCCCCTTGCCAACTGTACAACTATTGAGACGGCTAGACGGAGCTAACGAGCTAGCTTCCTGTCACCACTTCCTTATGTACTATGTACTTAGTATATAAGTAAAGGTGACAAAGGGAAGTGAAGTTTAGGACATTGAAATGAAATCATGCATGGTGCAGTTATAGCATTCAATAAATATAGAAGGAATTAAGTTACAATGTTCTTTAAAAAATATTGTACGGCTCATGAAACATATACGTTAAGTTAATTAAATATAAATATTGATGTGTCACTATCAATATTTAGGTATATTTACTACATATTCTAACTAACTAACTGGTGAGTACCAGTTATGTGATTAGTCCTCTTCGCTAGGCACGTTTCTATACTGCAAATTGAAAATTTCCAACGTCGTAATTAATTAGGTACCGTAGTGGTGCCTAGGTGCCATTAGGTACTGTTTTGTATGAACCAGAGATCTCACCAGACACAACAATTATTACAAATAGAGGTAGAAAATGTTGAAAAAAATAGCTAAAAAAATGATAGGTATATGAGAAAGCGTAGCCGATAAGACAGTACCCGCTACGAGATTTGCTACGAAAATCATTTTTAAAGAGTCCATGTTTTAATATTGTGTAATGTTGTGTAATTTACACATGACGTATGTAACTTAATTATATGTTGCCTCATTTACTTCAAATTATACAGAGTGTCCCCCTGTGCTACCCAACAAATGCCAATACGTGCCTAATAACCTGTCTATTTAGCAACGCTTTGCTCCCCAACCCTTGCACTGACAACCCAGAAATTGTGACCCCAAGCGAAAATATCAATTAAACATATTTAACCCTGTGCGCGCTCGTTACCCATAAGTTGTGTGTCTCGGTCATTATGCCCATTAGGGGTGTATCAACTACTTGATTAATGAACTCCACAGCGCCGCGGGAAGGGTTGACAAAGAATAAAAAGTTGTTCGTTTTTTCCTGGTATTAATCATTCGTTGTCAAAGGGCTCGGTTGTAATGTGATGACAAATTGCCTTCGGTTATCCGGGAATTTCGTACCCCCTTCGAGGTAATTTTTCTAAGTATGTTTGGTTGGCATGTTGACTGTTTGTGTCTTAGGGTTAAGTTTGTGTGACAAGACGACGAAAGCTTTTGGTAAACTACTTAAGAACATAGTTGGGTAAGTGTACTTGTCTACTCAGCTTCGCACCATAGAGTGGTGTTCAAAGCAAAATGTACCTACTGAATACTTAAATCCAAATGTATCTTAGGCACTAAGAAATTAACAATATAATACATCACATGTGGTGATTAATACTCAATGCTCGTGTGAGAAGGGACTTTGCTCAGCAGTTGGCATTTATAGGCTGTTAATGATACATCAGATGTCGTATCTGCAAAATAAATAATCTTTGCTCAACACAAGGCAAGGGTTTATTGTAACCCTTGTATAATTATTATATTAATT